CGGTTCTTAGGAAATGTTCTTGTGGTTTAAAAGGTTTTTTTAAAATAAGATGGGATGTGAGCTTTTGATTAAAAAGTTTTCCTTCCCCTTAGTGACCTCAGCCTCTGGCCCCATGGTGGTGAAATTGGGACCAATGCAGGGACAGGAGGAGGGAAACTGGCAAAAGTTACCTTTCACTTTTTGCTTTTAGGTGACTTGGCTTACAGTACCCATTTCCTTACCTCCTGTAACTGTTTTGGTTCTCTTAACAGAAGCCTTATTCTGAAGATTTCTTCCCCATTTATGGTAGAGTGAGGGGTGTCCTTGTCCATGAATCCCTTCTCTCACCTCTACTTTTTAGGTGTCTGGGCATTGACTCTTCAGCTATGTTTTAAAACTTATTTAGTAGCTGGTTCCTGTGATGGGAGATTTCTCCTGATTGATGCATGTCCACTTGCTCCTTTTCTAAGAGAGCAAGATGATGGGTGGGCTGAATTTGAAGAGGTATTTGTGTTGCAGAAAAATGTGTTACAGCTCAGTTGTGACAGCAGCCTGGCTTCGGGCGAGAGACCAAGCAGCACTTGGAGAGTTGGAGAACTCAGGTTTATCATGCCAGCAGGCCCAGGGGAGTTAACACTCCAAGCTCTGGACCCTGTCTGTAGGTTTACACAGGCTTTTATAGGCTGCCAGTTTACTCTTTGCAACATCATATGCAAATAAGGTATAACAAAAGTTGACTAATTAGGAACAAGCTTTGTAGAAATGGACCAATCAGGAGGGAGAGAAATAACCAATCAGGAGCAAAAGAAATTACCAATCAGGAGTGAGGTCCATGCAAATGAAGTACTACAAGTGGACCAATCAGAAGTTAGGGAAATGGACCAATCAGGAGTGAGCTCAGGGAACCAATAGAATTTTAGGGGTAAGTAGGCAAAAAGTGAGATAGAGCCTCTGGGCCAGGGAACTGGATGGTGCTGGCAGGAGAGCAGTGGCCCTACCAGTCTTTTTATGGGGCTTTCCACCTCATTTGGACTAATTAACTCCTGGGCAGTGTTAACAAGAGCAGCAGAGCGGTTTGGCCCCTTCCAGCTCATCGACTCAGTCAGCCTTGTTTTTACTTTGCTTATCATTTCCAGCAAGAAATAATTCACCCTTCAGTCTGTTTTCTAAGGGAGGACTCCTGGGTGAAGCCATCTCATTCTCTGCCTTTACTGCTCAGCTTTAGGACTGGCAGAAAACAGCATCCCGACGTCTGTGACAGAGGACCTCCTAGATTGTCAGCGGCTGCCGTTCTCACCAAGCCTGGGGACCCTGGAGTTTTCTGTCCTGCTCTCCCTCCCCACTTCCTTCACTGGTTTGGGGGACACACCTTGCAATCCATCAGCAATCACAGCTGCTGGCTGCACAATAGCCACTGCCCTTCCACTAAAGCTGTAGTGACCAGAAAAGGAGAACAATGGAGTCCTCTGTGGAAAAACAGAGTGGCTCATCCATCCGGTGGCTTTGGTAGGAGATGCGCTGGTCCGAGCACCACTGCCAGCCCGACGTTCTCTATCAGCAGGGTTTAGGAAGGACTGCAGGCTATTTTCATTACTCTAGAAATTGAACAGAAATCTGCGTGTGCCTACAATGAGGCTGCATAGGCTCTCTGTTATCAAGATGTGAGATTTATTTGCCTTTGATTCAGATTACGTAAATTCCCTGTGGGAGCCATCCCAGGCACACCAGAAGGTCCCTTTCGCACTTGTATGTCTAGGAAAATATCAGCAGATGGATGATTAAGGCTAGTTGATAACGAACTCTTTTAAAACGATTTTTAAAAATGGGGTACAGTCCAGATGTTCAGACAGCCAGGGCACGATTCAAAACTTGAGAATCCCCAGGGATAAGAATCCCAGACTTAAGTTTGTTACTATGTTGCTTAGCAGTTAGATAAACTTATTACCCCAGTTTTGAACTGCCACAAGATAATGTCCACTTTTTCTCGATAAGAAATGACTTTTCAGAGGAGTTAGTCCCCACATCAGAAGGTGGATTTTTTTAGATGCCCACCTGGAGTGACCAGTAACCATGAGACAACGCTACCAGCTCTTCAGGGCTGTGGCTTCACATCTCGGGGCTTCCTTTTACCAGGAATCTTTATGGATGCTTAAGGAGCCATTTCTTCTTCCCAAAAGTACAGCCTGTGTGGTCGGGACAGGACCACATCACCCCAGCTGGAAGGATGCTGTCCTCTTGGACAGGGCAGGACACCCCTTGGCTCTCAGGCAGCTAAATAGAGTGGCTTGGACTCCTTTGGCCACAGAGATTCGTTTAGACCAACCACCGTTTTCTGATTTAACTTCAGTTTGGTCATGGTTTTCTAGATGAATAGATTCTAATGTGACTGCTGGTCTGGAGAGCTTTTCTGCCGGAATTAAAATGAGTTACCTTGCCATTTGACAAATTCTGCAAAGATTGATTGTCCCTGGCAGCTGATAGAGGTTTCTTCTAATGCTAATGAAACATTGACTACGACTATTCTGCCACCTTGGTCCCCACTTCCCTTAAGTGGGATGGTGAGAATTGGAGAGAGCCAGCTTGGGAGATGCGGGTGTTTCTCAGATACAATTAGCCGGGGCTCACAGTTGACGAAGCGGGAACTGGAATCACACAACCTTGGTTATGAGCTCTGGCTCTACTTCCTGGCTCTGTAACCTTGGTCATGCGACTCAACCTCCCAGAGCCTGTTTTCCTTCTTTAAATGTGGCTGATACCCATCTTGCAGGACTGTGATGAGAATCAAAGGGAACAGGAGAATAGCGCTAGCAAAGTTACAGTTACACAAGCAGGTTGTGAGACAGGGTGGGGCTGAAAGCTTTTGCAAGAATGTTGCGAAGGCAGCTCCTACTTTAGGGGAAGTCACAGAGTTGGTTTGTTGCTGGAAGTGGTTTTGACCTTTGTATTACATCTGCCTACTTGAGAGGCGGAGCGTTGCGTTAGAACGTGGAGCATCGTTTTGGTGTCGGATGGAGTTTCATTGTTGGACTTGCATGTTGGTTAATGACATGGCTCTCTGAACCTATTTCCTCAGGTCTAAACTCTTAGAACTGCTATGAGGAGTAGCACTGATGCATACGAAGTGTCTAACACTGCATCTGACACAGGAAGGGCTCGTCAATGATGCGGTTTTATGCATGTCGTCTGTAGGTTGTAGGCTCTGTGTCGTGGAATAATTGTGGAAGGAAGGGGCGAGGCAGCTGTCTCGTGCATGGGAGCATACAGACAGAGGCAGGCACTCAAACTTACTTGAAGGTTTAAAAGAATGGACATCTGATAAGTTTTTATAAATGGTATCTTTAAAGATTTTGTAATGTATCTGAAGCTCAACTTATTATCCAATAAATATGGCAGCCACATTATCACGCCCTCCGAATTAGGTGTGTGAGGTTATTGATTAACTTTATAATAGAGAACACCAAGTAGTTTTTAGGGTATTGAATAATTTGAGATTATAGATTAAAAATAATTTATTATTTTCTTACATTTGGGGAAGTTAAGTATACTTTAAAACCTTGACTATATCCTTGAGCCAAATTAGGCAAAAGGGGAAAGAATTAAACAGTCATGTCATTGGATGAGAAGAGCTGTGGCAGAAAATGGGACATTGTATATGTCCACATCTGCCAGTTGCATATAGCTTCAAACACAATGTCATGATTACTCTGGTCCTGAATGGCCAACATTAACAGTTGTAATAATCTTGAATGAATTTGTCGCCATCATTTTCCTGTTACCTGCATTAATGATTTATAAATCCATTTCAATTAAAAGTAGTGAACACCTTGAAGTGTTATTCTACTTCAAAAAGCATAACACCATTTCTAATACAGTATGACTTTGACACCTTTGAATTAAAAAACGATCCACCTTTAGCAAGAGATAAATGAAGTTGATAATTATCTGGCAAATTCAGGTTATGGGCTCAATTTGGACAAATTAGCTCACAAGGTGTCTTTTTGCCTCTATAGGAGTATTTTCTGTGGGGATGGGCAGTGTTCAACAGATAATTTTGAAATCTCTACTTCTTCATAGACTTCAGATTTGCTGGCTGTTGCAATGAAGCAAAATCTCAAGTACATATACATTTACAACTTTTAAATGAGTGAAACCACCATTAGACATTACGTAGAATTAGGAGATTCAGTGAAGCTGTTTAGATGTTTTCAGGCTACCCCTTCCTTGACTGAAGCCCTTTTAAATTACATGCTGAGTTCAGCCAGATACATTTGAGTCTTGTTTTTTTCTTTCAGAAAAATAACTAATATATGCTAACTAGTGCTCCAAGGAAAGCTTCCTGATCCTCCTAAAAATATGCCAAGGAATTCTAGTAGAACATGGATTCCTCTTACTCAAGGAAAGGCTGTGCATTTTTGAAGGGTGATTCCCTCCAAAAACTTCATTTTGAATATTTCTTCCTTCTCTTCGCAGTAGATCTTGTATAAAATGGCTGGCTTTTTAGATAAAAGAAAGTTTAAGTCAATGTAACTCTTTTTGCACTAAAGAAATCTTTCATACCTAGATTTATGCCACTGAACTGGCATGAGAGAAACAAAAATCACAGTGTTAGGGCTGGAAGGGACCTTGGGAATCGCCCTCTTCTCTTACAGATGACATACAGGCAGGTAGCTTGCCTACAGCCAGTCTGTCAGGCAGGGAGCAGCCAAGTCAAGGACCCAGGCTTCCCGACGCCTAACTTATGTGCTCTTTCCCATCTCAGCTACCCTCGGTTGTTCATTTTGTTTGGCAGTTGGGCTTGTTAGCACTTGCTGGATTTGCGCATTTCGGTATGTAGAAAATTACCAATTTTTTAGTCTGTAAGTGATTGGGTGGAGACAGAATACTGTTACAGAAAGACTCGCTGGAAGAACTAGAAGTAAAAGTGGCTTTAACTCATCAGTCCGTCCCCTTTTCCTCAGCCAAAAGTGAGGCCGCTGACTACGTAACCATATGGCTCATAGCAAATGTTTTTGACCTTTTAGAACAGAAGAGTCGATAACAGAAGACGACAAGAGGAGGTAAGTTTGATATTGAAGCTGCCTTTAACTTGAATAATTTTGGCCTTACTTTATGGATGTAATTTAACCTGCATTAATTTAACTCATGGATTTAATCGACCACCGTAGCACATTGCCAATAAGGATTCCACCAGGAAAACTTTTGGCACAGAGAATGCAGGTAGGAGCATGTGTCTGATCAAAAACTTGGCCCAGGGTTCACAATCTTTGCTTCTTTTAAGCAAGGTCCGTTTGTCCTGTGCACACAGCCTGTCCTGGTTTCCATCCTGGGGCCCTTGGATGTGCCATTGTCCCCAACTAGAGGATGTTTCTTCATTTTGCCCACCTTCTCCATCCTGCCATCCTCTGATTAACTGCACTCCACTCTCATTACTCCTCACCTCTCTCTTTCTCCTCGCTTTATATCTGCCTCTAGGTAAAATGTTTGTGTGTGTCCATGGCACCTAATAGCACTCTGAATTCTTGATGATTGTTGACTGATTAACTGTAATGTCACTCTACTGATATATTACTATACTATATTATAAAAATCCCAACTTTTCTTTCTCATTGCAAGTAAAATATCTAAAAATTCTTCTGTACAGCTTTTTCTTTTTACATATAGCTTCTCTTTAACATAGAAAAGCAATTTTATTTCCAAGGACAGTAATATTCTGAATTCTACTTTTGAAAAGTCATGAGTTACTTTAATAATTCTCTAATTATTTGAAGGACCTCATGCTTTCACTCTCTGCAAATATAAAGTACCATGTAGTTTGGTCTTATTTTTCTATATCTACTTCTTTTCATGAAGAAACTATGGAGGGGTGTATGTTGGTCTGCCGTCTGAAGCTGTCAATATGGTATCCAATCAAACAAAGACTGTACGAAAAAGTAAGTAAAACCATGTGATATTCACTTTCTCTACATATTTTTTTTGTTTTGTGAAAAAAAATGTGAAATGCATGTTTCAGCTTGCCTGACTACACATTACTGAGTTGCAGTGAACCATGTGTAAGAACCCGGTCTGCTCATTTGTTGAAATTGCCACCCACATAATGGGAGTAACTCCAGACCAAAATTTAGCTTGTTTGTGGTTATGCTTCATGGATATTTTAGATTTCTGGCTAATTTCAGTGATGATCAGTATGAAAATGAAAGCAAATGTTTCAGTAAGTTTATGGGCTTTTGTAGAATATAAAGGTAAATGCCTATATTATAAATGTGACTGATGATAAGTAGTCTGGTGATTAGAAGCAATGTAACTGCCTATTGTATAGTGAAATGAAGTTTCTGAGTTTTAGTAGTAATTGTGGGGCTAATGAAGTGCTTTTGATAATAGGTGCGATTATGACCTCATAGATAAACAATTGCTTAAGCAGGAAGCTTAAGTGTGGCTCGTGGTAAAGAATGCTGATTTACTGATCACTGTACAGTTGTCTGATATAGTTTAAGAGCTAGTAATGTTTAATTTTACACAAGCCTTTATTATTTAACATACTATAGCTATTTGTTTCATTGCTGTTTCTCTACTTAATGATTTAGGCTAGCAAATACATATGTCACAACTACTTTTAGTCTTATAGGAACCTAGAATATGTTCTTTATAACTGAGCATTTAACTTTTCTTAATTTTCTCTTTAAGATTAGAAGAAAATAATATCTTGACTCAGTAATCAAGAGGTACTGTATATTTTTTCTAAATAATTCTACATATTTAGCCTTGATGCATGAAATATAGCTATTAATGCTCTGTATTTCTAAGAAATCTTGAATTTCAAGAATTGGAGGGGGTATCATGATTAAATCTATGGAACTAAGCATGTTTTATTATAAAGAGGGCTTCAGTGATTAGATCAATTTTGTTTGCAGTTTTTTTTTCAAATGCAACTTAATTCATTCAATAAGAACAAAATACCGAAGTTTCACTCTTCATTGCCAAAACCTTTGTGGGGCTAGGACTTTGTAAATGACAGATAAGGAGAGACTAGAGAGGCTGGGAATTAGATTAGGATCGATATTAAATGTTTGGCGATGGCCAGGGGGTAGTTAATATACAGAGAGAAGATGTATTGATACCAAAACTCCAATAGAGATGGGCAGTCATCAATGTGCAGAGATGCCGTTACGCAGTAAGGAGCAGTCAAGTCATAGACCGAATCTCCAGGTTGGGTATTATACGTTCAATAGGAACAGAAGAACCCATTGCCTAGAAGATGAAGTGCTGTGGACCTGGTGAAGAGCTTGGAGTTAGAATGAAGACAAACAAGATCAAGGACGGAAGAAAAACAGCCTTCATTCAGTAACTACCCTCTGAGTACCAGCCTCTAAAAGGTGCTGAGCAGCATCTCCATAGAGGCAAAGAGCTTCAGTTTACTTGGTCCAAAATGCATGCAGTGCTCGGATCTGCACTGTCTTTCAGTCTTGCTGAATGACATCCCACCCCTTTGGAACATCCAGTAACCAGGAATGCCCTGTCTCCTGAGATAGCCC